TCTGATAACAGCTTAATGGTTAGGACACAGACCTGTGGGTTACAGATGCTAATGCTAATGCTCTGATAACAACTAGCCAGCTGAATTAAAAGAGTTTGAATAAAACACACTGGTTGGTAAAGAGACACTGACCTGTTTTTTCAGGGATAAACACAAAATAGATTAAATTATAAATAACAAACGGAAATGGCATCAGTGAACAGTAGAAAGTGCAAATAATATTGTAAGCTGTATTAAAAAGGCAAAACACACAAACAACCCGAATAGAAAATAGTCTATTAACTCTGTTTTACATCCAGCTCTTCCTCATTTTAGTAAAATAATCCCACACAACTGACATTTTTACCGATAGTTCAAATTAACATGGCCGTCTCAATGGTTAGGGCACAGAGCTGTGGGTCAGGAGATGCTAACTCTAATGCTAGTGCTAATGCTAATGGATGTGCTGGAAAATGACCGGACCGGTTATCAGGGAACAACACAGCAAAGTGGAATGGATATTTTAATCGGTTTGCTGGAAAACAATGGGAAAAAGACCTGGATCTGGAGTCTGGATTCGCATTTTTTAGCAAATATCGGCTCATGACTAGCCTAGCATGAACTGCTCTGCGAGGGGTAAAATGTCCGTGTTAAACTTTATCTCTCGGCCCGGCTTCCTTTTTTTCTTTTATTTTGAAAAATGACCGGATTCTCTCAGGTTACTTGAGCGTCCAAAATTTAACCCACAAGTAAGAAAAATGAGTAAAATACAGACGTCTTTGGAAAGTTTATTTTCAAAAGGTGGAAAAGCCCTTTTAAAGAAATTTTAAAGGAATTTTAACAGACAACAGCAGAAGTTCTGATTGAAATACGGATCTATTGGGACCCCCCCCCCCCGAATGATTAATCAATAAGGAAGAATAGGTGCGTAGAGTCCATCGAAAAGGAATAAAAGCTGTTGAGTTTCTCCGTTTGTGGGCGGATGCCGTAAACCGGTACGGAAACGGGAGAAAAGGCCTTCGGTGGTTGGACCCGAGGTGGAAACTCGAGGAAGAACCAGCAGGGAAAACAACCCTCATGGTGTTCAGCCTCCTGACTAAACAATCCCATATGTCGGTTAAAAAAAGGCCAAAAATAGCTTTCCGGTTAGAGTCCAGGACTATCTGTGTGAATGCCCACATTCATTAAGATATATGTTGATTAAATAAGTATTTATCTATTCAGGTATTCATAACTTTTTTCATTAATCTATTAATTTTATTATTTATCAATCCATTTATTCATTTATCAAATCATTAACTCATTCATTATCAATTGTTATATCTTCTGAAACAAACTATTCAGGTATTCATTCATTAGCTATATGCTAGTTAAATTAATTAACTTTGTATTTATCTATTCAGGTATTCATTCATTAAGCTATATGTTAATTT